GTAGTCTAACCTACATATCATAGTTTATGCGCGCACTTTATTGGTGTGCTTTTATTTGGCTTTTGCGATATATTCGATAATGTCAAATCGCATATCGTTTAAACAAGAATTACGATATTATCGTAGACGATATATATCGCACACCCCTAATTGACAGGCAAGTTTATTACTATTGATATGGTGCAATTACCTTCCGCAATGCAGGAGCCATCTTGTTGGTTAGCGTCCCTGCGACTATCATGACATCAGCCTGTCTGGGACTGGCTCTGAATACAACACCAAACCGATCCATGTCATAACGAGGGGCGGCCATGTGCATCATCTCCACTGCACAACATGCCAGGCCAAAGGTCATGGGCCATAAGGAGCTCTGAAATACAAACATTTGACTTTTTTTTTTGTTTGTTTTTTTTAACTTTTCCCCTCATTTTTACAAAAAAATATTCAACTTTGCATCACAGGAATAAATTGTTATTGATCAAATAAATGTAGCCTTAGTGAGCAGAAGAGACTTCTTTCAAAAACATTAGAAAAAAGAAAAGAAAAGAAAATCTACTGACACCTAATTTTTGAACGGTAGTGCATGTATTTAGTGTTTTTAAAACACATTTTTGTAATGTGTAAAGCAGGGGTGTCCAGTCCTGCAGAGTTCAGCTCCAACCACAATTAAACACATCTGAACCAGCTAATCAAGGTCTTATTAAGCATACGAGAAACTTCCAGAGAGGTGTGTTGAGGCACATTGGAGCTAAACTCTGCAGGACGGTGGCCCTCCAGGACAGAGTTTGGAGACCCCTGATGTAAAGAGTTGCGTACTCTGCGCGCCCAGTTGACCAGATCGTCCAGCTTGGTGATGATGTATTCACCCTTGCTGCTGACCGCTGAAGCTGGTCTTGGTGCCAGAGCTGTGCTTTTCTCTCTGAACGGGACCAGACTGGAAAGAAGGGTATGCACAGTTAGTAATAACTACCCAGTTAATAGTGTAATAGTTATTCTGTAACTGCCCAGGATGGGTGACATACAACCATAACAAAACCATCCACTTCGCACCTTGTGGTGTTTTCATCCTTTTTGTCTGTCAGAGGAACCTTTTTATGAGCAGAAAATGATGAAATGGCCCTATATTACAAGCACAATATCAAGTTTAAAAAGGTGTTACAACATTTTATATAAAATAAGGAAAAAAGATACTTAAAACTAATTCAAAACTTACCTTAGATTCAAGGAACCAAGGGCAGGAAGGCGAGGAACTGAAATAACACATTTAAAGTTATGTTTTTATACAAAAACAAACTTGCACATATGAGATCAAAAAAATACATGAAAACCATAATAATAATAACAACAACATATATATATATATATATATTGCTTCAACTTTACAAACAAGGTACATAATCGCATTCTACGCATTCTAAATAAACTTGCACATATGAGATCAAAAAAATACATTAAAACCATAATAATAATAACAACAACATATATATATATATATATATATATTGCTTCAACTTTACAAACAAGGTACATAATCGCATTCTAGAAAATAACAATAAAATAACTTAAAAATAAGAATACTGTGCCTAAATCTCTGCTCACTATGTGATTAGACATTTTTTTAAACTGCAATAAATATTTCGCTCATTTAATTCTTGATTCTTCTGCTTCATTAAGATACTAAATATCAATTTTGTGGCAGCGATTTACAAAAACACTGCATATCGCCTGCCTGAATGGCATTTTGACTTTGAAAGCCATAAGTAATAAAACATATCTTTGCACAACTTTAATCTGTAAGCAGTGAGTCTCAGATCAGTCATGTTGAGTAACAAGGTCAGCGAGTAAAGCCCATCATAGCACGAAAGAATTCATTCAACAACTGAAGATGCAATGTAGTTTAGTTACATCTAATGCATTCCACACATATATACGCTGCAGTGATAGCAATACTGCGCCATGCAGAGAATTTAAATCGTCTAGGATCAAGCTCGTTTACTCACCCATCAACGCCGCCATCTTTGCCTGTTACCTACTTCCGGTCGCGCTGCGACTTCTTCCTCTCTCGAGTTTTTTGGCGGGTTGGCAAACCAACGTTAAAGGTGCATTTCCGCCACCTACTGGTCTGGAGTGTGAAACATACACGGTTCAGCTATGAATTATTCAACCGTTATAGATAAAAGAAAAAAATAATATTAATATAACTCTAACTTCAAACTATTTCCATTAATCTTGTCTTTTTTAAATACTTAAACAATTCTCCATATATTCTTGATTGCATTACCCCATAACCTAATAGTGTCAAGTTAATGTAGTCAGATTTCTAGGAATGTGGATGGACTCAAAATTGAACTTCAGAATACATACAGATACTCCTGATATTACTCCTTTAACCCGTCTTTTGTCTTCTGGAATTGAACAAATAACTTTTTGTCCTAGAACCGATTTTATTCCTAAAGCCACTTTTTGTTGTCTGTTATCATTACAAAACAACAAAAGTCTACCTTCTCTTAAAGTCTTAACACTTTCCATCATTCCGATCTTTTCCTTCAGTGCTTTAGACAGTTTCAACGGGTTAACTGCATTCAAAGATCCAGCAGCAAACTGCATCAATACCTTATACTCTTCTTTTCTTTTCCTTGACATATGACTTCCTTTCTCACTGTCTGTTTCAGATATATTTCCACTAATTTTCTTTCTTTTCCTATTTACCACTACATTCCATTCATCTCCATTACCTCCACTTTCCGCGCCACACAATTCATCCTCCATTTCCGGATCACTTCCGGAATCAACGCCACTTCCTACCATGCACGCTCCAGTCACAGACCAGCTGTTGCCAATCCCTCCTCTCGTCGAATCCGCGCTGCGACTTCATCACTGTATATAAAAGTCCTTTGATAATACCGCGCTCAAAAACATTTTAAACAAAAAAAAAAAAAAAAAAGAGCACGGCCAATTTAATTATTCACACACTTCCTACGCAATTTTTACAAAATAAAATACATTACATTTATTCATCGCGCTCAATATCGATTAGTATTAAATAATTGTAGTTATACTTATTTTCTATATTCAATTTTTTTTATATCTAATTATTTTTGTAACTAAATTCTATAATTATTACACTAAAATTGTAACAGAAATTGCTCACTATTCATTGACAAAGATGTATGTATTTTTTTGTTTTTATTTTGAAGCGCTGAAAGCTGGTCCATATAAAAAATGTATTTTTAAAAGAACAATTTTACCATCAGTCTGTAGTTAGTCAATTACAGGTTCATCAGCATGAAAGTAATTATGACTGCTGTACCCAGTGTTGGGGAAAGTTACTTTTAAATGTAATGCATTACAATATTGCGTTACTCCATAAAAAAGTAACGTATTACGGTACTTAGTTACTTTTTATTGAAAGTAAGTTCGTAAAGTCCATTACGTTACTTTTGCGTTACTTTTTAAATCTGGACAGGGCTTGCTTGTTTGTTTTTAAAATAAAAAAGTTCTATTTTTGGCAAATATAAAAGCCTTTTCACACCAAAAGTGAAATTAATAAGCCTCAGGCTGAAGGGAAAGTACATTTACGTCCGTACAGTAGAATGCAGAAGAAGAAATTTCAACACACTTCAGCAATAAAAAAAAGACACAAATGTTTGTCTAGAGTAATTTGTGCTTATTAGTACGGTTGAACTGGATCATCGAAGGTCAGAAGCAAAGACATTGGTTAATAGAATGGGATTAAATACATAAAGGATATTTGTGTTGTTTAACATTTAATTATTGCAGATTCTGAGTTGCATTATTTTTATTCATTTTGAGGAATACTGAATCTGTGTTTTTTTTTTGTGTGAGATGAATTAATGCATATTCATATTTATTTTAGAACTACAGTAGCATCTTCTGATTTCTCTCAACATGGGACAGGAGAGCTGTCAATCAATAAATTGGAAAAAAAAAAGTAACTTGCGTTACTTATTTGAAAAAGTAACTCAGATATTCTCTTGTAAATTAAAAAGTAATGCGTTACTTTACTAGTTACTTGAAAAAAGTACCATAATCATCGAGTCTGATTATCATAATTACTCATGTCTCAGTTTCTGTGTATGATTCAAATGATCCTCAGGTGTTTGCATACCTGGATCCAAAGCTACCAGACAGTCATTTTAACCTTTAGTCAGCCAACTGAAGCATGAATCGTGTCAAAAACTGAGATTCTTTTTAAAAACTACTGGTCAGTGCTGAGCTTTGGGGTTTGAGAACAGAAAAAAAGTGCCAAACACTAAAGAAAAAAGGTGCAAAAGCTATCATTAGGAACTCTTGCAAAAGGTATGTACACTTAGATAATAGCCTAATATATACCCTTTAGGGATAAGTCACTAGATATTGTGTTCAGAAATTAAAAATGGATTCCCACAACCTATTAAATTCTTTCCTTCATTTTAGTTCAATTGTGACCATGTTATACTAATTTGTTCCCTATTTTAATTTAGTTTAACCTGGGACGTGATTTAACTCAAATGAATTAGTACACAGATTGAACTCATTTTGAACAGATTTAAACCTTGTGCTGTGCTGAAAATCATTTACCTAATTTGGTGTTTCCAACCTGCCTACAAAAATTGCTTATAAATCTCACATTATGCTAGATTATATTGCTATATTACAACTAGCACAGGTTTTGTATGTTGTTTTTGGAACTGATTGGTTGCAAGTCTCTTTGATCTGAGCTTATGCACCTATTTTTTGTTTTTTTTTAAGTGAACATTGCCAGAATTATCCACAACTGTTCAAACTGCATCCCAAGTTAATGTATCTTGATTTAAGAATGTTTAGATATTTTTTTTGTAGTGCATGCAACATTTAATGGCATGACTTTCTTAAAAATGATAGCACACCTTTTCTTAGCAAACCAAACAATTTAAAGTGTTATCCTTGTCTGACACACAAACAGACCAAGTTACAGACCACCGTTTTTCAGAAAAGAGAATGTTTTTTTTTTATTGGTAATTGAAATTTGGCCAAAGTATTGTTTGAAAATAGAGTACAACGCATATTGAAATTAATTTAACGGTCTGAAATGTGAAAACACTCTTCCAATGGCACAAACCTGTACAAACATCTCAAGGTTTATCAATAAATTAAAGGCAAGATTCTGGTCCTATTCTTCAAAACGGGTCAGAACACCAGCTGACCAGGATGATTAAAGGTGAGCTGTTAAGACTATTCTCTATCAAATAAACTTTTATTATACAAGAGTATAAAACCATACTACACCTTTAGCCTTATATGTAGTATGAAGCCTGGGAATTTCACTGCATTTACAAGGATAGCTCTACATTTATTTACACTTAATTCAGGGTTTAGTCTTCAGAAAGCAGCCTGTGGAAGTGATCGGTTCTCTTCTTTAAAACATTTCTGATGTCATCCTAGAAACAATCAAAAAACAGGTTAATCATTACTAAAAATTACTACTAATTTTTCACGTAATTAAAACGAGTACTTGGAACAAGTTTTTTCTCTCTCTCTCTATAGGTGACTTTCCCATGTTTGACTCTTATATCATTGGTTACTGTTTAGGAACAAAAGTATCTAGCCTGGTTTCTCTACTTTATAAGTTACATTATTAGTTTCAATAAATGGCCTTTTGAACTGGGTAGGTAATTTGAAGTTATTATGTTTCATGCTATATATGCTTAATAATAATAATTATATATATATATATATATAGACTGATGTTAATGGCTAAAAAAACTCACTGCATGCACTAGTTTCTCCATGTACGGAATGAGCTTTTGCAGCTCACGGTCCTCTTGATCTCCGACCCAGCTCTTTATGGGAATCATATTCATCAGCTAGAAAGAACAAACACAGATCCAATAAGAACATGTCACTGATATACTGGTTAGACTTGATGTTTAACAAACCCTTTTACATAGAAAAGGTAAGGACAAGCATACGTGATATGGGAAGGTGTGGGGGGCGTTGTCCAGGATGACCGTCTTTGACAGGTCTCTCTCCAGAACAGTCAAGTCTTTAATGTAGTGGCCAAGCACACAGGCGCAATCGTCCTGATACAAACGATGCCTTTAAAACAAGAACGCCACAGAATTACATTTTCATACTTCAAAGCTAAGTTTGTGACCTGTAAACAAAGTAAAAATAGATAGCTCCCAATACTTCCTTATTATTGGGAGCTTAAACAGTTTTATTTTAGCACATTTTAGTTACACTAAATTAAAATGAGAAATGGTGCCTTGGCAACTAGCTGAAATAAAATATTTTATTTCAAGTAACTGTAGTGGCCAAGCACACAGGAGCAATCGTCCTGATACAAACGATGCCTTTAAAACAAGAACGCCACAGAATTACATTTTCATACTTCCTTCAAAGCTAAGTTTGTGACCTGTAAACAAAGTAAAAATAGATAGCTCCCAATACTTCCTTATTATTGGGAGCTTAAACAGTTTTATTTTAGCACATTTTAGTTACACTAAATTAAAATGAGAAATGGTGCCTTGGCAACTAGCTGAAATAAAATATTTTATTTCAAGTAACAATTTTTTTGAATGGTTTTAATTTTAGTTAACTAGAAGAACCCTGAAAGACGTGTGACATTTTTGATCAGATGATGTAAATATCGTAGTCAGTTAGACCAGTGGTTCCCAACCCTGGTCCTCGAGGCACCCAACACTGCACGTTTTGTATGTCTCCTTAATCAAACACACCTGATTCAGGTCATCAGCTCATTAGTAGAAACTCCCAAGATCTGAAACTGGTGCATCAGAGAAAAAAAGACATGCAAAATGTGCAGTGTTGGGGTGCCTCCAGGACCAGGGTTGGGAACCATTGAGTTAGACCATCGTTTGGCTCTCAGGTTAATAAAAATGTTATGAGATTTGCAGATGCCCAGCTGAGATTTAGGGTACATGACATTCAACATATGTCTCACCTAAAGAGCTTTTTATTAGGGTCCAATATATCTACAGTCTTTTCTGCATATTCCTTTTTTGCAGAGGTGTAAACAAACATCTGGAATAGAAAAAAAAAAATCAGAACAGATTTATTAATAGAGTTATTCACTGGCAAAAATTAAGGCCCGTTCACACCAACACAAATGTTCAGCACAAAAATTCGTTCTGGTTTTCGCATACCATCTGAGTGAATGAAAATGCAAAAATCATTTTGCTGACAATTGGTGGCACTTATGTAAAAGCGGAAACCCCTTTCCATTTACGACACCCTCTTTTTATGGAGAAGAAATTTAGTCATTTACATGTTTTCAAACAGCCATTCAGAGTTCTGTATTTGACGTGGTGTTCAAATAACACTATTTTATGCGTTATATAACAAAAGCAGCTCTAGGCATGTGACCAAAAGCCCAAATCTTATTGGTAGCATTGATGCATTTGAATCTGTTGCATTGATGGCATGCAAACGTCTATGTCAGACACATTAAAGGTGCACGAAGCCTAGCTACATTAAAGTGATTATTACGTTTTGAATATGGATATTTTTCTTACAAAAACACATCGATTCGCTACAGAAGGCCTTTGTTCACCCCCCGGAGCCGTGTGAGACACTTTTTTTTTTAATGGATGGGCACTTTTTATTTAACTTCTTTTGGACTGAAGCAATGCAACACCCGCTGACTGCAATGATAGAGCTTGAAAGATCAAAGACTATTTTTAATGTAACTCCGACTGGATTCGTCTGAAAGAAGAAAGTCATATACACCTAAGATGCCTCGGAGGTGAGTAAAACACAGCCTAATTTTCATTTTTGGGTGAACTAACCCTTTAATAGACTCTTAAATAATGTTTGTCAAATTAAATAATGTACCTTTATTGTCAACAGTTGATAAAGGTTTCCTCCTCCTTCGTGGACGTTTGGCTACTGTTGGGACTTCATCAGCATCCAGATTCAAGCAGTCTTGAAGAACGTTTACTTCATCCTAAAGCAAGGGCAAAGAAGCCAGGCAGTTAATAATTTATTTATTTATGTTTTAACGCCATTTCAGCAACAATGGCTATATTCATGGCAACATTAACATGTAATATCATTTCAATAAATCAATTACAATCATATAACATTTTCTTAAGAAACAATCATTATACAAGAAACAACAGTAGTACTGATAAAAATCATATACAATCTTTCGGTTTAATCAGTGATAAAAATTCTAAAATTCTTCCAGGAGAGACTTTAAAAAAAAATTACTTTTAGTATATTTTCTGAATAATATCGTTGTCTAATATCATTTAAAATTGACATTCTATTAAAATATGTTTTACACTCAAAAGATTCTTACACAAGTCACAGACTGGTTTCAGGCAGTTACTAAACCAAAGAAATTAAACAGTATTTTTATATAAATAAGTGCAATAAAAAAAAAAATTTAAAATAAACGCCTACTTTCGGATATCTTACAAAGAATATCTTAATTAATTTACTTTGTGCTTTAATAAACAATAATAACTACAAGATCCATGTGCTTCTTCATCGACAATACACAGAGAAGCTGATTGGCTTCACAAATGCCATTCAAAAACACTAAAAATCTTATTGGCCACACGGCGAGAATTGGACCCGCCCATAAACAGCTGAGGCAGCATTACGACACTTACCAGAAATACATTAATTACAAATTATTATTATTCATATGAACAACAATATATATTTCATGATGATTAATGATATTTTGATTCAAATTTATATAGCAAAATTGTTTAATTCCGCTCACCGGATTTCTTGCTTTAAATCGGTTAGCATCATGCTAACGAGGCCTGTGCAGATCATTCACAACACGGAATCACATGCTCAATCACACCAAACACAGACAAGTTGTGTTTGCTTTTCATATGTAGTGTTCATGACAGCAAGACTGACCTGGGTCTGGACCTGCGGGGTCTGCGGTCCCGGTGTCTCCGGAGCGGCTCGACGGCGGCGGGACGGTGTCGTCGGGTTTTCATTTAAAATATTTCTCGAGCGAAGTCTCATTTTGCTGGAGCCCCGAGTAAAAGACGTCTTCAACGGACATAGGGACTTTAAACTCTCAGGAATAATGTAGTAATGTTAGTTCAAGCGTCGCGTTAATCTCCATGAATTCGGTCTCAGCGTTTCCACACTGATGACTTCTTCTTCTTCTTCTCCTCCTCCTCTCGAGTTTTTTTTTTGGCGGGTTGGGAAACCAACGTTAAAGGTGCATGTCCGCCACCTACTGGTCTGGAGTGTGAAACGTACACGGTTCAGCTATGAATTCAACCGTTATAGATTAAATGATAATAATAAAATAAACTAAAATCTTTACATAAATAAATACAAAAGTCAAAACTTCAAACTCTTTCCATTAATCGTGTCTTTTTTAAAATACTTAAACAATTCTCCATATATTCTTGATTGCATTACCCCATAACCTAATCGTGTCTTTAGAGATATACTATTAATTCCCATCAGTTCCAGTTCTTGGAACATCTGATGCCTTTCCCTTTCATACGCTATACATATTAAAAGAACATGCTCAACCGTTTCTGGTAACCCACTGCGCAAAGGTACGTCCAAACGACGTCATTTCAACGTCTTTTTCGGACGTTGAAATGACGTCTCCTGAAGAGCCAGAATGAAAGTTTTTATGACGTCTTTTGGACGTCCAATATTGACGTCCACAGGATGTCTTTAAGAGGTTCAAATTTAGTTCAGATGTGGTCATTGTTGATGTATTTTCAACGTCTTATAAGAGCCGCCATTGAATCTGTACAAACCACAACTGTATTAGGCTGGACCCCTCCAACCCACTGCAGTGCAAGACATATACTAATAATTCAGAAGTATATACAGATACATGATCAGAAACTCTTCTAGCAACTTTGATATTGAATTTAGGTATATATATATATATATATATACAGAGGGTACGGAGAATATACACACCCCTTTAAATTTTTCACTCTT